AAATTAAAAAATAAAATAAAACAAACATACATATTTTTTCTATTAAATAGTACCAAATTTGTACTTAAGACAAGGAAATCAAATCTCTATACCTACCATACCCAGCAAAATCTTGTTTATTCCCAGGCCACTTCTTATTCTAGGAATTTAATGGCCTGGAGCAGTGATCCTGTCTACTTAAAAGGACTCTTTCCATTCCGCCTTCATTTCCTACCCACCAGTTCCTTTCAGATTCACTCACTGAAGATGATTGTCCGTACAATTCCAAATACTGGGAAAAAGACAGTCACCAATCTCCTTAGGATAAAATCAAGTACAGTTACTGTTCAGGTGAGTTCACTTTTCTCAAGCATAATGTCATGATCAAGATAAAAGTTTGCCATGTGAAGACACTGGTAGCAATTCTGGGTTTAGTCTGGAAACTTAGCTCACCTGAGGAACCACTTGAGACTGCCTCCCTGGGTAGATGACTCCCACCAACTTCTTCAGTTGCCCTGTGCCTCCGTAACACTCCAGGTCAGTAAAAGAACTCCAAGGATGGAAGTTTCTAGACATCACAGAGAGGGAAGGTCTAAGGGAATTCCCAGGGCAACAAGGAACACTCAGTTCACAGATGAAACACAAGAAATGATATGGAGAAATACGTTCCTTTGTTGGTTGGGTTATCTTGGGGATCAAGACATATATTTGACCTGAAATTTGTGTGCAAGACAACTCTTTTTTATTTTTTTTATTTTTTTATTTTTATTTTTTTGGTTTTTCAAAACAGGGTTTCTCTGTAGCTTTGGAGACTGTCCTGGAACTCACTTTGTAGACCAGGCTAGCCTCGAACTCACAGAGATCCGCCTGCCTCTGCCTCCCGAGTGCTGGGATTAAAGGCGTGCGCCACCAACGCCCGGCTGCAAGACAACTCTTTAAAAGTGTGTTTAGCTGCCAGGCAGTGATGGCTCATGCCTTTAATACCAGCACTGGGGTGGAAGAGTCAAGAAGTCCTTTGTGAGTTCAAGACAAACCTTGTCTTCAAGAGCTAGTTCCAGGACAGGCTCTAAAGCTACACAGAGAAATCCTGTCGTGAAAAACTAAAAAGGGGGTGGAGGTCTATAGCAACATGCAAACCAAGACAGGGAGATAGCCTAGGTGGAAAGAGCTCTAAAGAAATGGAGAAACAGAAAGAGATAGAGAAAGAAACTGAAGGGAGGTAACATTTCCCCTCAAAGGAGGGAATCCAAATCCTCTAATGTGCCACAGGCTTCCTTGGCTTCCTTGGTGTAACCTGCCCTATCCTAAGGAGAGACAGAACAATAAAAACCCTGCGGAATGACCTTTCAGTCCCTATCTTTCCTCTGTGTTTTTGAAATAATCCATGTTTCCCTCCCCACCCAGTGCCCTCACAGAACCTGAAAAACCTAGAATCACATCTGTTAGGAAAGACAAAGAAAGTGTTTGTGTAGTTAAGTCTGTCTTAGATGATGATGTGTGGCACGTCTTTCTGACTAAAACATTCTTCAAATCTACTAGTTTTTAATTAAGATGAACTAACTTACCAAGCTTATTTTCAAATATTTTAATTCCAGCCAATGTGCAGGTCACAGATCTATCTGATCTCAGCCCATAAATCACTGAACTTGGATAAATTTGTGCCAAGAAACACGCTGTGCCTGGGGACTTGAGGATGTAAAACCCCTGGATGACAATGCTTGGCTTCCACAGTTATGCATGTATAAGACATATGGACCTCACTATCTCTGATTGCGACCATTGTATTCTGTTTCTGTTCCTATTTTGGGTCAACATACCTAAGCCATGCACATCATCTCCTCCTACAAAATGCAAAACAAGCTAGTGTATCTTTTACTAAAGAAGGGAGGTATGATGCACATGTAACCTTTGAGATTTGTTGGTACTGCAGAGACCTTTGCCTAATGGGGGATGGGTTTATCTTTCATTGGAAATGAGCTAACCTTGAGCAAAAAGAAATCATGTATGTAAGCACTTGCCCTTGCTTACCAGACCAATATCACCTGATATGGCCGCTGGAGGGGCCATAGCAAACTGTGGCTGTGACAATTTTATTGAGAGCAATAATAAGACTTTTTATACTTTTACCAGAGGCAGAATTGCCAGAGTCCAGCTCCAGATGAGGGCAGGGTCTGAGGACTAGTGGATGGAATAGCACTGACAGAGGACTCAGATAAGGACACTTCTGAGTTTCCTTTCACTAGAGATGGACTGAGAGGAAGCTTATCCCTAGAGTAGATGCAGGTCCCAGCAGAGGATGAAAGAGTAAGTAGGTGGGAGCCAGTCCACGGTGATGGTGAGAATCCTGCAGCCTGATTGACTAGCAGCCAGAGTGCTTCTTTCTTTATACAGAATTTAGTAAGCAGTGATACATTCATGTTGTTCTAAAACATAGATAACATGGTTTTGGTTTTTGCTCATCTCTTAGTCATCATTAATAAACTATGACATAACAGAGTTATTACTTCCAATCATTTTCCCTCAAATTTTGACACCATTAATAAACAGTTATCATTTTTACACTTTTGTTTTGTTTTTTTGAGACAGAGTTTCTCTATGGCTTTGGAGGCTGTTCTGGATCTAGCTCTCGTAGACCAGGCTTGCCTCGAACTCACATAGATCTGCCTGCCTCTGCCTCATGAGTGCTAGGATTAAAGGCGTGCGCCCAGCCATTTTTACACTTTAACCCCAATTTTTAATAATCTAGAAGCATATGACAGCCTAGTCTCAGGATGGTAGCTCTTGTGACTACAAGAGAAGGGCCCAGACCCTCACTCAGCCCCTACTTTGGCAGCTATGACAGGCTGCAGAAAAAGAAACAGCAAGATGTAGGCCCCTGACTCAGCAACATGTGCTGACCCCTGGACCTTGCCCTAATCACTGGGAAGCAACTTCCAGATATGCTCCATGTGGTAAGGAACCAATCAGAGGGTAACTGGTGGACTCTGAGTGTGACTTACTGATAATAGTGGAATGCAGGGCATAGCAACCTCCCTGGAAGGGACTCTGTGTATAGCAACCTTTCTGCAGCTGCAACTGACCAATCAATTCAGGACAGGTTCTCCCTAGCCAGAGGAGCACCAGTCCAGAGACTGTTGCTATGCAACTCCTCCAGACACTCTGCTTGTTCTACCCCAGTATATGCTCTGCCCCACTGCTGCTCAGGGCTCCTCCTACTCTATCCACTGAATTAAACTGACAAAGGACATAAGATAAATCACAAATTAAAAAGAATCTTTGTGCCTGACAGTGGTGGCACATACCTTTAGTTCCAGCACTCAGGAGGCAGAGGCAGGCAGATCTCTGTGAGTTCAAGACCAGCCTGGTCTACAAAAGCTAGTTCCAAGACAGCCTCCAAAGCCACAGAGAAACTCTGTCCTCAAAAAACAAAACAAAACACACACACACTCACACACACACACACACACACACACACACACACACAAAGAATCTTTGCTTTTGTATCAGATCTCGTCTCATGGTTGTTTTGGGGGTTCAAACTCCGGGTACAAAACAAGGACACTAGACCAAAACAAACTCTTCAAGCCAGCCCAGGTATATTCCCATGTCTTAAGCACTGTATTATTAACTCTTAATGGTCAGAATGCCCAGGAAAAATCCTCAGGCCAAAGTTGCTGTAGTTATTTTTCAAATTCTGGATTAATACAATGTTTATATTTTATATCTCTATAAGATCTGTTTGTAAGTCTAAACCTGGAATTCTGTTGTTCCTTGGTGATGTGACACCATAACGGCTCTGCATGACCTAAGTTTTCTAAGGCAGGAACGTCCTGATGTCTCATACTTTTATCATCTCTCTACCTTATTTTTTTACTCTTCAATATAAGGTTCTGGGTAGGGCAGAGGGAACTTCGGTTGCTGTATATGTCACATAACTATCTGAGTGTATGGTGGGAAGAGACTTGCAATCTTATCTGTGGCCAATTGCTCTAGCACACTGACTTTTTTTTCTTTTCTTTTCTTTTCTTTCCTCCAATTTTTTGAGACAGGGTTTCTCTATATTGCTTTGGAGATTGTCCTGAACCTTGCTCTGTTGACTAGGGTTACCTTGAACTCACAGAGTTCTGCCTCCTGAGTACTGGGATTAACTTTGTGAGCCACTGACACCCGACTGAATACTTAGTTTGTAGACTGTAATGGGGTTTTTTTTTGTTTTTGTTTTGTTTTGTTTTTTTGAGACAGCATTTCTTTGTGTAAGCTATGGCTGTCCTGGAACTCAGTTTGTAAACCAGGCTGGCTTTGAACTCACAGAGAGATCTGCCTACCTCTGCCTCCCGAATGCTGGTTTAAAGGCATGTAAAACCACTGCCTCCCTAGTCCACTGAATTTTGTTGACCTTTTTAAGTTACTTTGTTTTGATTATCTTGTTCCTGAGTAAGTACAGGGAGAGATGTTTCAAGAATATCTCATAGCCTCATACAGAGACACCTGTGGCCTCTTTATATATGTCACAATCTCCAAGGCATAAAGGCCTTCAATAGATAAGGATATCTCCCTAACAGTGTGAGGTCAGTATGTTCAGGACTGTCCTGGGAATACTTAGAAGCAGCATTCCTGGGAGAAGACATAAATGATTCATAAGAAATTCTCCATCAATCCAATATCCCTAGTATTGTAGAATTGTTGAAGTCACCCAAATATGCAGAAGGGCCAGCCCACCACAGTCCCTGAATCCTTACAAGGTCTGTCCTCAGTAAGAAAGCAAGGATCGGGGAACACTGTGTTGTGTTCCTTCAGCTCACTACTTCCTGTCACTCAGGCCTCACTAGCCAATCAGAGCCTCCATCGGACCAGTCAGTGAGATGGGAGGGTTCTTCCGTTTTTCCCATTCTGTGGCTCCTGTGAGGAAGTGAGAAGTTTCACCGCGTGATACTGCCGTGATCTCCGTGTGTGGGGAGAGCATGGGTGAACTCTGCAGCCAGGCCAGGGTGAGCGAGGGTCCACTGTCCCCACACTGGGTGGAGCAGCGGGCTGAGCCCCGGAACCACGTGGTGGGTCCTTCCTTGTCATGGTGGGAGCTAGCGGCCAGACTCGGAGTTCAGCTTGTTCCTGCTGGTCCTGCGTGGTTCTTGTGAGATCCTTGTATTTCTCTGGGCTGGGGCAGCAGCCTCCGAATAACTCGAGGCTGCGGGCTGCATCTGTGAACGGCATTGGGAGTGCGTTATTGTTTAGAAATGCGTTCTGGTTGATGTCACTGTGAAATGCCGGCTGTAGTTCTTTTGCTTCAGTGCTAGGATAAAGTTGGAAGGGGGTACTCGTGGGGGATCACGGCAGATTCCACGTCAGGCGAAGGTGACCTAGGCGGGGAATAACACGCTAGGCAGACAGAGCTTGAGTGAGAAGTTTTATTAGATAAAGGAATGAGGGGGAAGGAAAGAGAAAAGAGGTAAAGAGACACAGAAACACAGGGAGGACAGAAGAGAAGAAGGAGACAGGAGCAGAAAGAGATGAAGCAGAGAGAGAGGAGAGCCAGAAAGAGTGCGGTAAGAGCAGAAATAACAGTAAAAAGGAAGGAATCTTTCCTTTAAAGGACTCCTTTACACCTGCGTGCTGTCTAGTAGTCATGGAACCCTGGACTGACCAGAGTGCTGCCTGAGTGCATTCTGCCAGGTGATTGGGGAGGCCAGCATAATCCTTACACTGGTGCCTGTAGTGATTGTATCAGTCTTTATGGAAGGCAGGTTTGCCAATTCAGAGAACTCTGGACTCTCTTCTATCTTCCAAAAGTTCTGCATTTGTAACGTTTAACATTTAGGTTTAGGATCCCTCTGGAGTTAATTTTGTGGAGCTTGTGAATGATATCTCTGGTGTAGAGTAGCACTCCTCTGTAAACTGTGATGTAGACAGTAGAATTGATGGTAACAGAAAGGATGGTTCTTACATAAAGTCAAATAACTAAGAGAGGACTGCCTCCCAAATACCCCAAAGGCGATCAGTGTGCTAACCACGCCTGTTAGGGTTTAGTGTTATAAAATGTAAATGTTTGTTTACCAGCAATAATCAGTCATTAAGCTACTTTCCCAGAACAGGTGATTTAACAACAGACCAAAACCGCCCCTCCTCCACATAGAAAACGAGGCTATTGACATGCAGATCAAGGGGCCAGTATAGGATGAAAAGTTACTACACCCCATAAGCCACTTCCGCTGATGCAACGATCCAATTTAGACCAAATCAAACCAAATTAGAAAAAGCCCACATTTAATGGATACTATGCTCCCGGGTGGCCTTCCAAATCCAAGAGAGGAGACAGGAACAGGAGACCAGAAAAACCTTGGGTCTGTTCCCTGGGAGACACTTTAAATTCCCTGTGGGAGTGGTCATGAGTATCTCTGGGGGAGGGGCCATCATTTGGCAGGCTTTCTGAGATGCAGCAGGGTTTAGAGATAGATGGGGGAGGGGGACTTGGGGGAACCTGCACCATAACATTCCAGACTCTTTGGGTATATGGATGCCTGCGCCTGGGGGGAAGCTTTCACCTTAACAACACCGAAGATGTGAGCAGAGAAGCATTCAGTTAACGGCTCTCCTGTAGACTCAGGCTCCTGATCCTTGAGTAGGCATAGAAGGTTGGTAGAAAAGAAATTAGATTGTTATCATTGGCCCTATGAATGGGGCTAGCCTTGGGAAGGGTGCTAATTGTCAGAATGAAGGGAATGGAGAAATGTCCTGGTCATACAGAAGAGGAAGGGTGAATGAGTGAGACAGGAGAGCATATGTGTCCTTCCTTGGGACATCTTGGAAAACCAGAGGGTGGAGGGTCCCAGCTGCTGGACAGACCAAGTGTCCTGAAGAAGTGGTATTGATAGTAAAGTCCCAGGAGCTGGAGCAGATGCTGCCATTATCTGGAGGACCCTCTGTGGGTTGACCTTGGCTCAGGAAGGAGGAGTGAACCTGCTACCTGCAGAGTTACTCTAGGTTCAGAGAGGGCAATGGGAGTCACCTAGTTTGGGTCACATCAGTCCTCCTCCGGGCTGAATATTTCAAATGCTGGCAGTCTCAGCTGCCAGTGATGGTGAGGTTGGTCTTCCATGCGTAGCATAGAGGATAAGCCCATTCTGGGGCATTCTGATTTCCAGTGTCCAGGCTGACGACTGATGGGGCATGGCCTTGTTGGCAGCCAAGGGTCCAGGCAATATCTTGCCAAACGACTTTCCTGCCTGCATTTGTAGCAGTCTCCTGGAGCATTGACTTGCTATAGTAGGATTGAGCCTCATGGTGGTCAACTTCTCTTGTACCCCTTGGGGTCTCAGGGCTCTTGTTAGGACTTGAGCTTGGAGAATGGCCTTGTCTCTAGTGAGGACTCACCTATCTTTTCTCAGGCACTGAAAACTTTAAAAGCTATTTTTCACCAATTCCTGTATGGGAGTTTGGGGACCCCTCCTCAGCCTGTTTAAATTCTTTTTTTAAAATCTGACTCTGAGTGAGAACAGAAAACAATTGCCAGGACTGCCTCTCTGGGGAGGCTAGATCAAGTATAGGCCAGTATGCACAGGAGGACAAGGAGGTGCTTTGGAAGGATAGCGAGGGGCTATAGGGGGAAAGGGAGAGAAGAATGTGGATGAGGAGGAAGTGGTTACTTGAACTTTGTGGTGGATGGGAAGGAAGGGGAATAGGTGGAAATGGTGAGGAATGTGGGCCACTGAATGGAACATGTGGTCACTAAGGAGAGGATTGGGCAGGCAGGGTTGGGTGGGAATGGGGAAGGGGCCAGGGTCAGGGGCAGCAAGATCAGGGCAGAATTATCAGGGTCCCAGTTCCTAGATAGGCAGGAAGCTGGAGGGACCTGATCCTAGGCAACAAGACCAGTGCAGTGTGACGCTGGCTACTGAGGGAAGGGCGGGAGCGCAGTATGCAGAAACCATGGACATATGGGGTTCTGTTCCCTGGTCCCCACCAGTGAAAATTTTCAAGATCATAGAGGATGGAATATTTAAAAGTTCCCCACAGAGGCCATTGTGTCCCTTTGAAAAGGACATATTGAGGCCAGGTGTTAGTGTACAGAGAAATCAGGCATTCAGGACATATGGTGTCAGGTAACCCCAATTTAAAAAGATTTTGTAACAAGAAACCAAAGGGCATTTGGGGATCTGGTTCCTAATGGCAGGTGCCCATTTCACAAATCTGTACTAGAACCCAGAGCCTAATGCTATGTATCCATCCACTGTGGCAGACTCTGGGTCAAAATCAGAGGGGGTGTTGGAGAATCTCTTGAGCAGAACATCTCTGAAGAAGGGTTCCCGCTGGACAAGGCAGGTCCTTGTCCCAGTAACCGGTCAGGGCATTGGCATGGCCACCTTATTCTCAGGACACCCCAGCAATCGCAGGAGGCCCTGGCCTTCTAAGGCAATGACTTGGAAAGGACACTTACCCAATCGAAAGCCGATCTTAGCCTGGTGGAGAGCAAGTGTGGGGGAAAACAGCCCCAATGGTGGAACCTCCAGATGAAAAGTGTCTACACCCCGATGAGCCTCTTCTCTGATGCAGCAATCCAAATCAGACCAAATCACACCGAATTAGAAAAAGCTCATATTTAATTGATCCATTGTTCCTGGATGGGCTCCTCAGAGAGAAGACGGGGAAGGGAGATGGAAAAATCAGGGGTCTGTTCTCAGGGGACAGATTAAAAACCTTGTGGGAGTAGTTTTGAGTCTCTCTAGCAGAGGGGTCATCATTTGATGGGCTTTCTAACATGCAGCATGATTTTTGTAAGAGATAGTGGAGGGCAAATTGGGTGGAATCTCCACCATGACACGGGGTCATAACCAACATTAAATCCTGGTATGACATAAAGATGTAATCATGAAAACCTCCAAGTTAAACCTTGTTGAAAAAAAGTTATGAGTCAAAGTTTCCAGTGATGATGGAGATGGATTTGAACCCTCTCTGTAGACCCACAGGGCATTGTCCGTCCTATCCACTATCTAACATCCCTATATTTTGGATTGCAACTTTGGAGCATAGAGTTATAAAATTCCCAGCTTGAGTAACATAGTGGGCTGTCTATTGGGGCAACAGGAAAAGGATTTGCAAGTGGAGCTTGGCTCTGCCTTCTGAAGAGGAGTATTGGTGTCCTGTGTCCACTGCAGGGGAAACAGGCTAGACAATAGCCAGATCACAGATCAGTTTAAGGCAGTGAGGTGCAGGGCTCTCCACCACAGAAAAGACCCTGATGGGGCAAGGTGAGTGACGATGTAATTTCTCAGCATGTGCTAATTCCTTCCATGTGAATAAAGGGAGACATAATTGATGGATCTACAATGTAAGGAGGGCAGCATTAACCAGCGAGTATTCCATTTCAATTAGGGAACTCCCCTATGCAGATATGTGCAGTCCTGGTTGACACAGATAGGTCAGCTGAGAGGGTTGAGACACAGTCCTTTGGCTGAACCTCTGTGTCAGCCTATAGCAAACATCAGCTCACATTTTACAGGGGACAAAGTTGTTCAGTCTCTTATTAATGGCATCTACCTTTTTTCGAGGTCAGTTTCGCTAAGCATACTACTGCCAGTTATTTACATGTCTTTAACAAGTCAATTATTGGTGTTTTGAATGTGTTACTGCTCTAATCTCTGTTGTTTCTATTGTCCAAAATTTTCCATTTGTTAAGAATTTCTTTTTTTTTGTTTTTTTTTTGTTTTTGTTTTTTGAGACAGGGTTTCTCTGTATTGTTTTGGAGGCTGTCCTGGAACTAGCTCTGTAGACCAGGCTGGTCTCGAACTCACAGAGATCTGCCTGCCTCTCTGCCTCCTGAATGCTGGGATTAAAGGCATGCGCCACCAATGCCCGGCTCATTCCATTTTTAAGTGCTATTTATGTATTTATATCATTTTAGACCCTTTATTCTCACCCTGTGTGTCACACTGTCTTCTCTGGTGTCACTTGAACACACATATAAAGCCATCTCTCACACACAAAGATACACATACAAATGTCGATAGACTTGTTTCTTTAAAAAGGATGATTCTTATAGCAATTAGACCAAACAAGATGTTTTGGTTCTGCAGTATGTAGCATACAAAGTTTATTTAAAGAACTGTTACCTTGCATTTTGTTTGAAGAGATTTTCAT